GTCGACTGACCCGGTCGCCCGCCGATCTGTCTGCTCGTTTTCTTGTCCTTTTGATTCCACCTCTTATCTCGAACTTTGGGTCTACACCTTAGACTAACAATCTCCCACTTGGAGACCAAAGTTCCTGCAATGAGTTCCCCCGAACTCTCCTCTTCTTCGCATGTATCTTTTTTTTCCGAAAAAAAAAATTCTTCCTTCAATCAACAATATCCCGACAATCTCGCCGATCCTCGTAGTGTGGCTCCGCCTTCGTCTTCTACTCGTGAAGGCCAACTGAAGTTGCGCACAACTCCAGTTTCTCAATGGTGACTGCCTTCGTCAACATGTCCGCCGGATTTTGACTCCCCAAAATCTTCATTAAATGCAACTTTCCATCCTCGATCAACGAGCGTATGAAATGATATTTGACGTCGATGTGCTTCGTTCTGACATGATATACTGGATTCTTGGCAAGATGTATAGCGCTCTGGCTATCACAATAAAGAACTCCTCTCCCCTACTTCAGATCCAACTCTTTCAAGCACCCGTTCAACCATATCATCTCCTTGCTTGCTTCAGTCACCGCGACATACTCAGCCTCGGTTGTAGACAAACTCACAATCTTCTGCAGACGTGAGACCCAGCTCACTGTTGTCGACGCTAAGGTATAAATACCCCGTGGTGCTTCGTCTCGTATCATGATCACCGGCGAAGTCCGCATCCACGTATCCCTACAGCACTAAATCTTTCCTCCTGAAACATAATGGTTTGTTTGTTGTCCCTCTCAAGTACCGCATTATCCACTTCACGGCATCCCAACGCTGCTTTCCTGGATTGCTTGCAAATCTGCTCACAACTCCCACTGCATGGGCGATGTCCGGCCTCGTGCAAACCATCGCGTACATGAGACACCCAATGGCCGAAGAATATGGTACCCTGCTCATATGCTCTCTATCTGCATCTGTCTTAGGCGAATGCTCCTCAGATAGCTTGAACTGACTTCCAAGGGGGTGTGCTAACAACTTTAGCATTCTGCATGTTGAACCTCTGAAGTACCTTCTCAATGTATTCAGCTTGACTCAATCTCAATGTCCCTTCAGCTTCATCCCTACTGATTTGCATCCCTAGAATCTGCTTCGCTGCACCCAGATCCTTCATTACAAATTCCTTTGCTAGCTGCCTCTTCAAACTGTTTATCTCTTCTAAACACGGTCCTGCTACCAACATGTCATCAACATATAATAACAAAATAATTAAGCTGGACTCGAACCTTTTGAAATAGCAACAATGATCCGAATTGCATCTTCTGTAGCCATTGTTCTGCATGAAGTTA